TCCTTATTTTTCATTCGTTCTTCTATACCTATCATTATAGAAACTCTCTTGTCCCACTTTTTTCAAAAGAACTAATCTAACAACCACGCTCAGATTCACATCGCTAACTTTTCCTATCTTGCGAAGTCCAGCCAGCTACGAGCTGAACTCGAAGATTTTTACGGAGGGCTCACTCTTACTTGTGCGCAGGTACATAATCACCCACTATTTTGAACTTGAAATCATATTAATTTTAGTTAGTAGACAACGAACCTCGCAGCCTAGGATTCGTCTACAACATCGACTATCTCTGTAATGATAATGTTTTCGAGAGATGTGAGTTTTAACGGAGATTTTTCAGCGGATATTCTTTTGATTGAATAACTGTCTAATTCTGACAGATAAACCATTTATGAACTACGATCAATATGAGCGGCTAGATAACAGCACAGAACTTCCATTCAAAATGAGTAGTGCAAATCTTAAGGTCAGAGCAAAATTTTCAAAAAAAAAAATCACTTCAAGAATTTTCCCTTAGATGGATGTGGCTTGGGACGATTGGTCTTGTTGCTCGGCTTGCTGCTGTTCAGTAGCTTTGTGTGGCTTATACGCTAATGAAAAGAAATGGTATTTCTTTACGAATTTGGACTTTCCCAAAATATAATCTAAAATCGAGTTTTTGAGCCACGAAATCGATTCATATAGAACCAGAAGAGGTCTATTGTCAGTATTTTTGCTAGATCCACAAAAGAAGGTGCAGCATTGTTTTTTTTTTCAACGAAAGTTGTCATGCCCATATACTATGAAGATTTAGGTCAAAATTAGAAACAAAACCGTTTCTGCCGAACTTAACCAACTGCTTCGTATTTCACCATATCGCGAAAAAGGCATAGCCATCTATTCATCATTTATGCTGCGTCAACCTCGTTTTAAGACTCACCTTTTCGATGAATATCTAAAAGTAAAACTGCTTTTTTTTTGTTGAAACCTTGCTATTGATACTGGCTAACGGATTAACGATGTTTAGGATCCAGTGACATACTTTCTTTCAAAGCGTGGACATGATTTTGACGATTACGCTGGAGTGGGCATGTTTTATGAAGAGCAGGACTGTAGTGGAATGGAACAGAAACTGAATTGTTCAGTGTTGGCTGCTTGTCGAGGCGAAATCGTTGAGGAGGTTAGATTTGCGAGATATTCGTCGAACATCTTTGGGACTTGATTTATTACGTCTGTTAAAGTCACAAATGAATTATAATCACCGTTTGGGAATGGAATTTGCTATGAAGCAGTTAAAGGTAGTGTCCGGACTAGATTGGGGGTTTTGGGATTTCACAGTTGCGCAAAAGAGCCAGCCTGCCATACCTCCCAGCTCAATCGCGGGCACATTTCGTGGAATCAGAAGGGAGAATAACGCTCCGGAAGTGGGGAGACTTACGCCACTGATTGGCTAGAGTGCGCATATCGCTCACAGTCAAGACGAAGGGTCCCACCAATACTCTGCGTCTCAACCTCGGCGGCAAGCGGAATTTAAAACCAGGGGCTTCTGGAATAGCCCGTTTTC